GATGGTTCCCATCGGTTCCTACCCTGTGGCTTGTAGAAGTCTAGCATTGGAGATTTTATTAGGCCAGAACACTTGCATGATTCTCCTGAGACAAGTGATGTAGAAGGTAGCAAGTTTGCGGTTATCCAGGAGGCTTGCTCTCCCAACGCAGGCTTCCCCTCGGCTTTCACCCACGTTGATCATACTTGCATCATGATGCCTCAGAGCTCCCAGACGGTGACAATTTGGTTTCCTCGTAAGGCTTCCGTAACAAGTACTTTTAAACAAGGCAGGGTTGTTAACCTTGCGCCTATCCCTCCAACCTGGAGGGCAGGGGTAGTGTCTAGTTGGACCCCTCACCCACATACCAATCTGGCATGGCTGCACCTGCCAGGAGCGTGAAGCTCCAGCCAGCATAGCTCTGGAGATCATGAGAATGCTCAAGCCTCCTCGCCAAGGATTGTGCATTTAAACTATCAATATTGCTATCTGAGGGACTCAAATGAGATATTTCTCTGAAATGATATTTCCTGTTTTTGAGAAGTAAAATAAGTATTATTTTGGAAATGAATATACAAAATCCCCGTAAAACAACTTTTGATCACCTTCCCATTACATCTTGCATTGGGACATCTTTAGTTAATGACATTTCAAAGAAATGTAAGCTGTAACATTTGTCGTTCTAGGTGTGTATTCTGTTCTTCCAATGGGTGTGACCATAAAATGGTGAATAGGTCTGCACTGCAGCAAACATGGCTAAATTGTTGGTGATAATTAGAGGTCCAAAGAAAAGGCAAAAATTCCTATTGGTGCAATAGAGACATGTTACTTTACTGAATGGATCACGTCCAAAAAGAGCAGCATCAACACAAAGGAAATTTGCTTACTCCCACCACTCCACACACATTTTGTACCGATTTTAGGTCCTTTTTATTCACCTTATGCCTTGTAGTTTGTTTTCAAGCAATGAATAAGAAAGCCAAGACATTATTGAACGTTATTGCTTCTGCATGCATTGCGTCCCGTTTATTTTACTTCTCTTCGCTTTAACTTAGTGTTATATTTAGTTTTTACGATTTTAAATTTGGTCTTTTACAGCTATGCTTGCTATCTATATATATATAACAGTAAAAACTCAAGAGCTAGGTTATATGGTCATTTAATCGCTACTCAGAGTTTCATGCCTCATGCGAGGCAATCATCAGGCGACTGCCAGAAAAAACGGTTACATTCAAAGATATTTGAAAATACAAAACAATACAATTACATGCTAGATGTGTTGCGTGTCACGTGTCGCGTCACGCGGGATGTTAATCGCTAATT